GTATGTTCTGTCGCAAAATCATGGGCCTACTCTGATTTCAATAGTTCGTGGGATCCACTGTGGGTTCTGGCATCCGTAATGTAAGTAATCCGGATGGCGGTTCTTCTCTAGTAAATTTAAGAGTAGCGCTATATTTTGGAAGTAACTCTCAAGCCAAGTGCCAAGTTCAGCTTCTTTGACTCACGGTTTTTTCGAAATGGCTCAATGTTGATTGAACAGATCAGCGCCACTAGTATAACATGTGACCCTTGATTACTTTTGAACCCTTGGATGTAAGGAAAAAACCATTAAAGAGGTATCTTGTTTTGGCATCGCCCCGGTCACTTTTGGCACATCGACGGGTCACTTTTGGCACGTCGACGGGTCACTTTTGGCATGTCGACGGGTCGTTTTGGCATGTCGACGGTTCACATTTGGCATGTCGACGGTCCATTTGGCATGTCCACGGGACGGCAAAAAGCACCTAAGGATATAGTGTACCAGAGATAAAAGATCGCCAATATTTGCAAATCGTATGCGAGGGAAGAGGCAAATGGCACGAAATGATGTCTATGTTTCCGACGGAATTAGCTGCTGAATCATACACTTAGAACGTCAGAAGCCCCAAAAAGCACCAAAAGGTATAGTGTCCCAGAGATAAAAGATCCCCAATATTTGCAAATCATATGGGAGGGAAAAGCCAAATGGTACGAAATTATGTCTATGTTTCCGACGGAATTAGCTGCTGAATCCAACACTTAGAACGTCAGAACCCCCAAAAAGCACCGAAAGGTAGAGTGTTCCAGGGATAAAAGATCGCCAATACTTGCAAATCGTATGGTAGGGAAAAGCCACGTGGTACCAAATTATGTCTATGTTTCCTGCGGAATTAGCTGCTGAATCCAACACTTAGAACGTCAGAACCGCCAAAAAGCACCAAAAGGTATAGTGTTCCAGAGAGAAAAGATCGCCAATATTTGCAAATGATATGGGAGGGAAAAGCCACGTGGTACCAAATTATGTCTATGTTTCCTACGGAATTAGCTGCTGAATCCAACACTTACAACGTCAGAACCCCCAAGCCAAAAAGCACCAAAAGGTATAGTGTACCAGAGAGAAAAGATCGCCAATATTTGCAAATCATATGGGGGGGAAAAGCCAAATGGTACGAAATTATGTCTATGTTTCCGACGGAATTAGCTGCTGAATCCAACACTTAGAACATCAGAACCCCCAAAAAGCACCAAAGAGGTATAGTGTTCCAGAGATAAAAGATCGCCAATATTTGCAAATCATATGGTAGGGAAAAGCCACGTGGTACCAAATTATGTCTATGTTTCCTACGGAATTAGCTGCTGAATCCAACACTTAGAACACCAGAACCCCCAAAAAGCACCCAAAGGCATAGTATTCCAGAGATAAAAGATCGACAATATTTGCAAATCATATGGGAGGGAAAAGCCACATGGCACAAAATTTTGTCTTTGTTTCCGACGGAATTAGCTGCTGAATCATACACTTAGAACGTCAGAACCCCCAAAAAGCACCAAAAGGTATAGTGTTCCAGAGATAAAAGATCGCCAATATTCGCAAATCATATGGTAGGGAAAAGCCACGTGGTACCAAATTATGTCTATGTTTCCTACGGAATTAGCTGCTAAATCCAACACTTACAACGTCACCAATACTTGCAAATCGTATGGTAGGGAAAAGCCACGTGGTACCAAATTATGTCTATGTTTCCTGCGGAATTAGCTGCTGAATCCAACACTTAGAACGTCAGAACCGCCAAAAAGCACCAAAAGGTATAGTGTTCCAGAGATAAAAGATCGCCAATATTTGCAAATGATATGGGGGGGAAAAGCCAAATGGTACGAAATTATGTCTATGTTTCCTACGGAATTAGCTGCTGAAGCCAACACTTAGAACATCAGAACACCAAAAGGTATAGTGTTCCAGGGATAAAAGATCGCCAATATTTGCAAATCATATGGGAGGGAAAAGCCAAATGGTACGAAATTATGTCTATGTTTCCTACGGAATTAGCTGCTGAATCCAACACTTAGAACGTCAGAAGCCCCAAAAGCACCAAAAGGTATAGTGTCCCAGAGATAAAAGATCCCCAATATTTGCAAATCATATGGGCATATGGGAGGGAAAAGCCAAATGGTACGAAATTTTGTCTATGTTTCCTACGGAATTAGCTGCTGAATCCAACACTTAGAACACCAGAACCCCCAAAAAAGCACCAAGAGGTACAGTGTTCCAGAGATAAAAGATCGCCAATATTTGCAAATCATATGGTAGGGAAAAGGCAAATGGTACCAAATTATGTCTATGTTTCCTACGGAATTAGCTGCTGAATCCAACACTTACAACATCAGAACCCCCCAAAAGCACCAAAAGGTATAGCGGTCCAGAGATAAAAGATCGACAATATTTGCAAATCATGTGGGAGGGAAAAGCCAAGTGGTACGAAATTATGTCTGTGTTTTCTACGGAATTAGCTGCTGAATCCAACACTTAGAACATCAGAACCCCCAAAAAGCACCAAAAGGTATAGTGTTCCAGCAGAGATAAAAGATCGACAATATTTGCAAATCATATGGGAGGGAAAAGCCAAATGGTACGAAATTATGTCTATGTGTCCTACGGAATTTGCTGCTGAATCCAACACTTAGAGATAAAAAGGTTTCACAAGCCTTCCCACTATCATCATTGACCTAGACACGTTCTAATTGATAAATCTCGGGTACGTTCCAAGTGATGAATTTTGAGTCCCACCACATTCTAAGTGATGAATATCTTACGTTCTTAAAGTGACACTTTGAGCGTCCTAGCTGCTCTGATGAACATGTTTTTTCCAACATACGTTCTAAGATGTTCTAAGTAATTGTTCAGCACTATATATGGATAGAGCATTCCCAGATAGAGCACTTAAAGATAGGATAGGATAGCATAGGATAGGATAGATAGGATAGGATAGGGTAGGGTGGGATGCATAGGATAGATAAGATGGAAAGGATGGATAGGATAAATAATAAAAATAGGATAGTTAGGATGGGATGGGATGGGACAGCATGGGATAGGATAGGATAGGAAAGGATATATATATATAGAAGAGGATAGAGGATAGGCTGGGACTCCTATTGTTTATACTATTTGTATATCATGCAACAATACTTTATATACGGATACTTTAGGTGTCAGCGGGGGGATCCCACGACCCCTGATACTTCAAACTTCCAACCCAGCCTCTGCCCCCAATTCATTTGCTACAGCAAAGCTAACTCCAGCTAGCAATGTAGCTTTCGTTACAAAATGTTTGAAACAAATTCAAACGATACTTTCTGTTCTTGAAAACAACAGATCGAAACAGTACGAAGCAATACGGAACAGTAGTTTACACCAGAAGGGTGTAGAAAACTTTTGACCTGTTTACTGGAAACGATTGTTTCTCAGGCTGAATCAGTGCTCTCCTTCGTTCCGGCCCAAAACCAACTCTGCACCCAAGGGTTTGCAGTTTACAGGAAATGCTTTCTTAAAAACAATCCAACAAACAACCTAAACAAACTGCATTCCAAAGGCTTCGTTTTTAACTTCTGAGTTTGGTTTGCGTCTCACTTGCCTTCAAGCCCAAACACGTTATCACTGTATATAGTTTTGGGCAAGAACAGGTTTGTTTCCATTCTGCAACGCTTTTGTCCTGGAACCTGATTCATTCTGCAAGACAAAACTGCTTGTCGATGCTCAAACATAGTTTTTATGTTTTCTCTGGGGAGAAAAAAACCAACGGAAATGTTTGTTTTGCCCAGAGAACATACCACTGCCCGCTTCCCCACTACACAAAAGGGTCGCCGCTTGCCATGACTTCCTCGTGCACTTTCTTCTGCACTTTCCTGTGCCATGGTCTGAGAGCCCGGCCCAAAAAGTACATCTTCCCCCAAAAGCACATCCGAATAAATCTGGCAACCTGCTGTCGCGTTCATCAGCACACTCTTGAGTGCCCTGAGCACACTCTTGAGTGCCCTGCTAGACAGATGCCAAAATGACTGCAAATCAATCCACGTCAATCCATTGCAAGGCAAAGCCGAGTCACAACGATAAGTCCAACCTCGGCAAGATCAGCAAAAGCTTCTGGCGGCAACAGCTGAAGTAAACACATTGTATTTGGTCACAGGTTCAAAGACTAGCACACGCCAGCAAAACTCTTGACTCAAAATAAAAACCGTAAGAAGGTTGTTTAAAAACATGTGTGGTGTTTTCAGCAAAAGGTTCAAGATCGTGGTCCAAAGAAAATAAAGTCAAATCAATCAGGAAAAGAGACCAGAACAGCAACTCAGGAGGCAAAGACACCGCTTCACAACTGGAGCGGAAAGGACCCAGGCCGTAAACATACGAAAGCAAAACACCACAGGGCATAAGTGAAATAACCACGTGGCAGGAGTCGACACTTAAACTGGCATTGAACGCGCAAATCTAGATAATGTTGGTTCAATAGATAGTTCGAGAACATGTTTTTCAACAAGTGCGGGACAGTAAAGCTTGGTTTTCCTGTGCTTTGAAGAGGTTGCTGCACCAGAAGTTTCCAAGCAACGCAAGTCCACAAGAACAGTGTCAGCATCCAACCGTCTTTTGCTCCTATGATATTGTTTGAAACATCTCAAAACACACAATCACGGACAATCATGTTGGCATGTTCACAATCATGTTCAAGCGTTGGCAAAGCAATCACAGGTATTTGACAACGCCCTCGGAGAGCAGAAGGGTCAGAAGGGTCGGTGTCTGCAACAAGCTCCCATTGGGTCCCATTGGGTCCCATTGGGTCCCATTGGGTCCCATTGGGTCCCATTGGTCCAATTGGTTCCTTTAGCAAACTTTAGCACTGAAGCCAGATGAAGCCAGGAATTGAGCTCAGTGCATAGTGGGAAGTCAGCGGTTCCACCTCCAATTGTTTGATCCAACCAGATTGAAGATGATTGAAGATGATTGAAGAGGCTGAATTGGCCTCAATCCTAAATCTATCTGCCCATGACAGTCCTACTCATTTGAGTCAGAGCATCCTTGCCATGAAAACGGCGAGGGGTCCAGGTCACTTCAAAATTGCAATCGTCGAATTTTGCAAATCTAACGAATTTCCTTTTTCCGTCAAAGACGGTATTCCTTTGAGAAATGGATACCCTTTGAGAAATGCTATCCACCTCGTGCATCTTCCGCATGAGCCACAGTTGCGGCAACAGCCCCATAGCTTCCTGAAACCTGGAACTCTGATGCACTCTGAACTCTGGAGGTCATACTCAGTCAATCTCACTCAGTACAAGTACAAAAAAAACAATTTCGAGTTGCAAAGATTGTCCACAGTTGATTCAATTTGGGCACAGATTGCCCAGTTACAAAGCTGTTTGCTTCTCTGTTTGCTTCTGGCTGATGTGCACAGGCTTGTTGGAGGGCCAGGCATTGTGTAGGACACGAGGATCTGCATTGTGAACCTCTCCAAAGAAGAGGTCAGCTACCGAAATCCTAAATGAAGATGTTCACACTCCAAATTACTCATGCGTTCAATCGCTGTACCTTTGCGCAATTTCATTTGATCATTCTTCACCCTGGTACCACTGTGTCAGGCACCAATCATCTCCAGGATGGAAGAAGAAGGCCAAGAACAGAGCCACAGGGGCTGTTGCATACCTCCGCAATATGTCCCTGCTTCAGCAGTTCTTCCAAACCATGTTTCTAGCGGCCACAATGCACCAGTTATTAAACCAGAATACATCAACGTTACATCAGTTGTTTCTTTTAGATTCGGTTACAATATGAGGATCGTTGGTAGCAAAACCTGTCCGGCTGTGTGCAATTCACTGAATGTGAAGCATGGCAGATTCACACTCTCAGGAAGGGAGTCGACCTAAGAAAGCACGGGCACAAAACGACCCCAATCGCCAAAATGGACAAAATGGACAAAATGGATCTGGAAATCGTGAGAATTTCAGTGAGTGTAGTGAGACGTCCAAAACATAGGGCCATGGCTGTTTTGGTGCAGTGTGCTGAAATTGGTAGCACATGAAACTGAGGCCGGCTGCAACAGCCTCAGCAACATTGACACTGTGCATCTCAAAACAAAACAATGTGTGTGGACTTCAAAACAAAACACACAAAATATGAACCACAAGGATGCGAACGTGTACTGATAAACAAAATGCCAGAATCATTTGAGCAAAAGAGGGCTAAAAGCGAAAGCAGAACCAAAGTTGCAATGCCCACATTTCAGACCATGAAGAAATGTTTGGTCTTATCGTCTTATCGGTCTTATCGTGCATTCTGTCAAAGGTGGATGTGTATGGCTGCACGGCCAACCAGGGGAAATCAAGTTGACAAGTACTTTGCTACGAAGCGCTATGCAAGGTTTGTGGAATACAAATTGGTAGACAAGTGGAATTCCGCACATGTGACCATTTCCTCCATCACCTCTGCTGCATGAAACAAGTGTTGCTGTATGGAAGTAGGATAAGAAGGCATGAACATTGCAATATTGACCAGAAGATCTAAGACCCCCACAGTGGACAGGATAAGCTCTAAGTACGCAAATTTCGTCTCCACTAGTCTGGTTTCCATGGACTGCACGGGCCAGGCGACCAAATGCAACTAAAATTGCGTCGTGCTATGCAAAAATAAACACAACACACGCAAACCACAACAAAAAATGTATCTGTTTGCCCAAAACAAAACTCAGTTGCAATGACACTCCGTTGCACAAGCGGCGCACCCAAACACATCGGGCTATGACAGCCAGCATGTAACTCGCCTGGCCAGGACAATTTTGGTAAATTGGTCAAAATTCCGGTTCTGTCATTTTCATTGACAAATATGAACACCGGGCAACTAAACTGACCATTTGAACCCAAGTCTCTACATGCTGATGTCAAGCAAAGTTTTCCTGCACCGCTTGAGTGGAAATCTGCTGCCAAGCCTGTGTGTCGATGCTTAGTCCATAGATGGACTTGTGTTTCCAGATCTTGTAGAGCAAGATGCAGGATGCAGCAAATTGGACAAAGTATCCTCGAGTTGCTTTTGAGAGGGGACAATCAAGAACAACATGTTGCGAATCCCGCCATTCAAAGCGAAAGTTTGGAAATTGATCTCCACACCAAAACCGCATAAAACCGCCATGTCCCAAGTCATGAGTGTTTCTGCTCTTGAGGTTCTGGCCCACTAAAAAAAGGAAAATTTCCATGCTGACACCTGAATCTGGCCAAATCTGCCACGATGAAGCACACACAACATGCAATGTTTGCAATGAAAAACGTTTTTCTTAACCATGGTGACGAATGTGATTTTTTTCCCGGCCTTTGCACCACAGCCACGTCAGAGGCACTTTGGAATGCGGCCCCTATTTTGATCCAACATGAAATGGTGCAATTTTGGCAAGAAAAACAGAACATGGAACCCCACCACCGACAGAAAAAAAATAAACATAAACGTTGGACAAAAAAAGTGCCATTGGTATCTTATATTGCAATGTGTTTCCGGGCGCGCGTAAAGATTGTGTTTCATGTTTCACGTTGGCAATCCTGTTGGTTTTCGCGGAGGTGCTGACTTTGACAAACCTGCAACATGGAAACACATGCGCAAAAAAATGAACCGCACAAATTTGCGAAAATTCAGTTCGTTTAAATGATTTTGGTTTTTACAGTTTCAATTCCCAAACCACGTTCGTTTGCACACTGGCAAATCAAAACACAACCACGTCAATTTTGTTGATGTTAAAACCGCAACAATGTTTCACATAGAAATACGAGCCGGGTGGCACAATAAACGATCACAACGTTTGCTTGCCTTTTTCCAATTTCCTTCGAAGCGCATCACATAATTTTGTCCTGTGGTGCCCATGCAAACAAAGCCACAAGACATGCATATGCAGTATTTAATCGAAAAAAAATGCACGCGACATGTGCATTTCATATGTACTTGGGTGTGTGTATGTGTACGTGTACGGGCAAGTAAATGCATATGTAAACGCATATGCACATGTACATGTAGATGTATATGTATATGCAGATGTGCTTTGCACCTGTGTATGACCATGTGCAAATTCAAATTACATCTTAATTTCAGGTTGACAAGATGTCCTAGTCAATCAAAATGAGGTTGTGTGCAAACAACAACGCAAGCGTCACTCACTGTTTTCAAGGGTGTCGGATGGTCTGAACGAACGGTTGGGCTAGGCCACTTTGGGCGAATGCTGATCTTGTCCTCGAAGATTGGAGTGTCGTGCACTTCTCGATTGTGTGTGTGTGTGTCATCCTTGCACTCTGGGAAAAACGTTGGGAGGCTCGTGAGTGGGGCTTGAATTTTAGTTAGGCAGGGAGAAGACCCAGAATGCAAACTTTGCATCCAAGGTTTCGGCATTTGTTCCAGCAAGAAAACTCAGAGCGCCCTCCATGCCCATCCTTGTGCAGAATTGCAAAGATTCTCAAAATCACACAACCCGCCATTCACCAAATGCTTTCAATTTCAGGCTTTCAATCAACTTCGCACTGGGTTTTAGCAAAAACGTCACAAGCAGGCAACAACACTGGATGTTGATTCTTGTCCTGGGTCGGAGAACGCCTCGGTGCAAAGACTCAGGCGAAAACGCTGCAGTCTATTTTCACTCGTGCCAAAAGGGTCTCACAAGTTTCAACTGCACATGCTGTTCATGTCAGTCTATAAACTGAAATGACAAATGCAACTCTCTTATCGATTTGTGCGTGTCATCCTGGCACATGTGCGTGGGCTCCACAACTTTCCACACTCCTCCTTTGTGGTTTGAGCGTGGCTCATTCCACAACTCCAAAATTTTCACCTCTCAACGCAAATTTCAGCTCTGCTGTCTGACTCTGCATCATCCAGTGAAAACGTTTTCGAATTCAATATTTCAAATCATCAAGCTCTGCATGTCTTCGACATAGAGCCTAAACCTGTCTCGGCGTTCATCATCTCCTCTGTTACGGTGAAAACGATATAGCCTCTGGAATATGTTTCTGATCTCATTTGAAACTCTTGTACTGAATCCCTCTGTTAGAGTGGAATCTAGCACCAGACAAATTGCCTTCTGAATCATGCTGGCCTCATGCCAGCGTTCTGCTGCAAGAGCTTGATTTTGATCTACCCTCATGTTCTGTAAGAGGGCTTCCATTCCAGTAGGTCTATTGGATTGGTTGTCCTCCACATCTGTTGTCGGACTTTCTTCTTCTCCTCCTTCGTGATCTTCTTGCGGATGTACAATTGGGTCAGTTGAATCTGCACGGTTTCTATGATTCCTTATTTGAAACCAGTTCACCTCTTGTCAAACCCGGCCTTGCACCGCGCGTGTAAATCTACGCAAAAAAAGGGAAAAGGCAAAAAGCCACATAAAGCCCAAAACATTGCCACATAAAAAACTGCAAACGTTGAAATCTCTCCGACGCAACTTCACGTGAAATAAAAAACTGGACATGCACAAATCACAAACACTGGCTTTCAGTTGCTGTGTAAACGATAAAACGGTCTCCACGTTTTTTTCACAGAAATTGGGGAGTCAGCGAACCTTCATCCGTTTGCGTTCGGGGCTTTCCCTTCACGCCTGGAGGTGGGATGGGTGTGGGGGGTCAAACCTCCAGGCGGTGAGAACATTGTCCCACCCACCCTCCCTTGAAATGAAATAAACGGTGGACAAAGAAGTTAAATCAGATCACTCAAGACCACAGAACTTCTTTGCAAACAAAACAAACTTAAAACCTCGCCTACGAGAAAAGTTGTGTTTTGTTGGTGTTTGTTGTTTGTCACAAAAAGGGAAGTCACCTTCAATACTTCCTCCTTACCCAAAAGAGCACTTAAGCTCAAGAGACGCGGTAGAAGAGAACCTGCGTAAGGAAGGGCGCAAAGAGGAAGTGACACCAGAGAGGCAAACAACAACGACACGGACGCAAGTGGGACCGACAAGAGGACGGTGGCATCCCACCTGTGAACCTCTTACAAATAAAGGCGTATCACTAAAGTGAGCCGCTGCTTATTTGAAACCAGTTCACCTCTTGTCAAACCCGGCCTTGCACCGCGCGTGTAAATCTACGCAAAAAAAGGGAAAAGGCAAAAAGCCACATAAAGCCCAAAACATTGCCACATAAAAAACTGCAAACGTTGAAATCTCTCCGACGCAACTTCACGTGAAATAAAAAACTGGACATGCACAAATCACAAACACTGGCTTTCAGTTGCTGTGTAAACGATAAAACGGTCTCCACGCTTTTTTCACAGAAATTGAGGAGTCAGCGAACCTTCATCCGTTTGCGTTCGGGGCTTTCCCTTCACGCCTTTCCACCCCTATCTTGTCAACTTCGTGAAGGGAGTAACAAGGCTTGCATCTCGTGTAACCTGCCGTGTCTAGAGCCTCAAACTCAAGGCGTGACGGCGCATCTCCAGGATTTGAAAAGGAAGGAACTCTCGCATACCAATTCATGGACTGGGTGCAGACGTCCAATTGGGCATTGAGGACAAGGAGCTCATAGTTATCAAAAACTGGAGAGAACGACCGGACGAACGCCGACTGAGCCGAGCTGTTGTCAACAAACCATAGCACTGCTCTACCTGAAATCTCTTTGATCCAGGTCAGCTTCGAGACAAGGACTGGAAATATCTCTGCCTGGCAAATTAATTGTGCTTTGCCCGACGCTCTCCATTTTGAAGTCCAGTCTTGGGGTATGTCATCCCCAAAGTAAAGAAAACGATCCTCATAGAAATCAGCAAAAACTGCACCGTGTGTTACCTTCGCGCCTTCCTGTTCGCAAGCGCCATCAGTGAAAATGAGGATGGGCTGGGTCCCTGACCAAACTGCCACGACACGCGGTCCTGATTTCTGTAGCATCTCCAAAGCTGACCTGATGACTTGCTTTGTGCGTTGATCCAACAGTATCAGAGGCCCAGACCTTGTTGCTTTGGCTATCAGTTGAACCGCTAATTGGGTACATTTCCCAAAAGTATGGCCAGCTGCATAGAGTAGCCTGCCGCGCAGTGTTTCTATCAAGGATTGTGGTACCTTCTGCTTGCTGAGGATAGCTTCCACAAGTTGTGCAATGTCGTCCAACCTTGCAGGCTTATTCCTAACCAGGATTCTACCCTGAGGCGTTTCCGAGAGGTCCACAATCGCACCCAGCATCTGGAAGCATGCCGCAAATGGAAGTCTCTTCTCCTCGGATGTAGATATCTTCCACCCAAGCATTTTCATGACCATCTCTGCAGTGTCCCAGGAATTCTGGCACAATGGGAGCGTCTCCAACTGGCAGAAGTCATCGAAAAAGTTTGTGTTGACAAGCATGAACAACTGAGACATTATGATCCTTAAGGCACGCGCCATCCTATTGAATGACATCACGGCCGACACTGAGCCAAAGGGAAGTGCCACTGAATCGGGCACCAAACTGCCAACACCGATGCCCATGAGTCTTCGGGGTGTCGAGCCAGTTGCTTATAGGCGGCTTTCAAATCCAGTGCCCTACCATGCAGTTGCCTCCAGGGTCCGCCAGCTGGGGCTGCTCCATGTGCGACCCGTGGCAAACCTTCATCATCAAATTCGATGAGGTCAGCCCCCATAAAAACTCTTGCAGTGTTGACCACCTCGTCAATACCATACACGCCAGTTTTTCAGTTGTGGTGACAGAGGAGTTAATCAAAAATTCAGAAAAGTCATCCACTGCCCTCACCTTGCCACCCTGTCTGACTCCAAAGCGCTTCGAAGGGATCCAACAACCGTCATGACGGTCATCCATTTGTTGCATGGAAAACGGCCCCTGTACCCAGCCATCTTGAAGCTGCTGCATCGTCTCTTGGTACACGGCCTCGGCGATCTCATGGTCAGAAGCCACTCGCTTGCAAGACGCATATATCATACGTTTTGCCCATACTGCAGATTCCTTGAGCTGTTTGATGGTGATGGCTGCAGGGCGCAGCTTCTTTGGGAATTGACCAGACTCACACATCCTGCCAGTTAACTTGAAGCCCTGTGTCAGCTCTTGAAACAAGGTCTTGTCCCCCACACCTGCATCATCACACATCTGTTTGAACAAGCAAAGGCGTTTACCCGCCAGCACATCGTTGACTTGTGGGTCCATAGACTGCCTTAGTTTCTTCTCCTCCTCCATCATGTCAACAGCTACCTGCATGTAGTGTTTCAGAGCCCTTGCACGAAAAGCCATCACATCAGCTGCTGGCCAATCTCTG